TTTTTTTTTTTTTTTTTTTTTTTTTTTTTTGAGGGCTAGGGGAGAGGCCATGTAAAATTGTTATATTATTTATTAAATATTTGGTAGAATTCACCAGAACATAGCTATCTGGGCCTGGAGTTTCCTTTCTAGGAAGGCTTTATACATACAGAACAGTTCAGGTTATTCCTTCTTGATTGAACTGTGCTAGTTTTTATTTTTCAAGGAAAGTGTCCGTTTCATCAAAGTTGTCATGTTTAGTCACATAAAGCTGACCTTATATTGCTGTTCTTTTAGTATCTGTAGAATCTATAAAATGTCATATTACTATGTTTCTGAAATTAGTAATTTGCATCTTCTTTTTTATGATCACCCTGACTAGATAGTTTTATCACTTTTTTTGACCTCCTCAGACTGTTTGGTTTTAATCGATTTTTTTCCTATTGTTTTTCTGTTTTGTTGGTTTCATCTTTGATGCTATGGTCTCTTTGGCCGCTATAACAAAATACTATAGACTGGGTGGCTTATAAACAACAGAAATAGATTTCTCACAGAGGTCCAGCATCCAGGTGATGGCAGATTTGGCGTCTGGTGAGGGACCAATTCCGGGTTCATAGATCCCTTTTTGCCCCCTGTGTCCTCACATGGCAAAAGGGGTAAATGAGCCCTGTGGGGTCTATTATATAAGAGTACTAATGGCATTCATGAGGGCTTGGCTCTCATGAGCTAATTACCTCCACAAAGCCCCACCTTCTGATAACATCACCTCTGTGATTAAGTTTCAGCATAAGCTTAATAACATAAACTTAAGTTCTGGGAAGATGCAAATGTCAACCATGGCATATGTTTATTTATTTATTTATTTTATTTATTTTTTGCTGGTAGAGTCTTTATTAGATAGTTATTGCTGTACTACAGGGTCAGATGAGCACCCTGTAAGCAGTGTCAGAGGCCTGTGTGTTCAGCCCAGGAATGTGGATCTTCTCTCCCTGTTGATCACAGTGGGTAGGTTTCTTCAGAAAAGCCCCAGAGGCGGGACCGTGAGCCCCAAGGTTAGAAGTGGAAGTGGAAGGCCTCGGTCACATGCTGCTTCCACGCTTCCAGGCTGGGCAGGAAGGAGGAGATGCCCATGATGTGCCAGGTCTCCCCGTCTGACACCAGTGAAGTCTGGTAGGACAGCAGCTGCATGCCTGCCTCTGCCAGGAGGCCAGTCATGGTAGGCAGCATTGCAGGGTCCGAAGCCTGAGTCCGGAATAGGAGCAGGGACAGGCCCCTGCGGAGAGGCACTTCCGGCCTGAAGACAGCTCCACCGAGCCCCTGCAGCACAGGTGTGGTGCCCTGGACCAAACCCACAGCCTGGTAAGGGGCGCCTGCCAGGGCCACGGCCAGGAGACATTCCCCGAAGCCCTGCTCCCCTGGTGCTGCAGGGCTGTGGGAGGTGGTGACATTGAGGCCAGCCTCTTTCACCAGCAGCTTGGGGTTCACCAAGTTCACATCTGCCTGCTTGGAAGCCTCCTTCAAGAGGCCGGCAATGACTGCAGGGCTTAGGCAGTTCCCAGCATTCTTCAGGGATGTTCCTTGTGTTATCACCTGGATGGTCCCTTTGGAAGACCCAGCTCAGGCTCGCATCAGTGTCCCCAGAGCTTCTGCCAGACCAATTCAACGCTTGGTGTGTGGAGAGAAGGCGCTGGTAAGGGCCTGGGCATTTACAACCCCCATGAGAGATTTCCCCTTCACCATGTCCACGAACTGAACAGCAATTTCCTCCCCACAGCGTCTCTGTGCCTCCTTGGTGCTGGCGCCCAGGTGGGGACAGCTGATGACATTCTCATGGTCCACCAAGGTTCGGTCCTGTGGTGGCTCTTCCGTAAACACGTCCAGCGCAGCCCCAGCACACTGGCCAGACTGCAGGGCCCAGAGCAGGGCGCCTTCATCCATGATCCCTCCGCGGGCCAGTTCACCACACGTGCCCGCTGCTTGCACTGGGCAGAGGTGCTGTCGTTCGATAAGCCTGTGGTGGAGGGCAGGAGAGGAGTGTGCACACTGATGAAATCACAGAGAGGCCAGATCTCCTCCAGGGGCAGCTGCTGAAACACCACAGGAGGCCGAGACCTCTGGGGAAATGATGGGGTTTTACCCTATCGTCTTCATCCCAAAGGACTGCATCCGGGTAGCCACCTCTCTCCCAATCCTTCCCAGGCCAAGAATTCCCAGTGTCTTTCCATTCAGCTCTGTTCCCATGAACTGCAGCTCGGCGATCAGCTCCTCTTTGCTAAGGTTCTGCTTCTCCATCACCTGCAGCCCTCCATTTTGCAAGATCCTCCGGCAGCAAGGGTCCAGGCTGTCACTGATGAGCACTTTCCGCAGATTTGCAAAGGCCATTGCTGGAGGTGGCCTCGGAGTTTTCATTCCTGACATTGTAATTTGAATCTCTACAAGAGTATTTTTCTTTAAAAAATATATATATATATATATCTTCCATGCCTCTGCCAATCTGCTTGAGCTTAATTTTGATATACAGTTGAGTTCCATATGAACAGCTTGATCTTTCCGGTGTTCCTTTTATGATTTGATCGAATTTCCCACTCCTGAGGCAAGATCTTTGTGATGGCTCTATTCATTCCCATGTGAAGTCTGAGTTTTCCCAGCATCACTCATGGGAATGGACACTTTTTGGCACCTTGTGAGCAGCAGGCATGTTTCTTTCCAGTTTTTTTAGATGTTTCTTCCCTTGGTCTGGGGCAGTTTTCTGGCACACATGCACTGTTCAGTACTCTGCTAGATACCCAGGAGGTAGTTTTGCAGATCTTCAGTGTTCTTTCCCTGTACTCTGTCTCCTTTCCAGTGTTCTGTTTTGTGATCTCTGTCTGCCTTCGCTTTACCAGACTCTCAGCTTCATCATCTCATCTCATCTCAGGGAATCTGGTAGACTCTATGACAGTTTTTTCTCTCTGTGTGATAGCCTGGAAACTCTGCGAAGGCAGGGAGCTGGAGCGTTGGTATGAATTCCATTTGTTTCCTGTCTTACGGGATCATTGCCTTCATTCCGTGAAGTCCACTGCCTGGTAAATCATTGTATAATATATTTTTTCTGTTTTCCTTTTGGTTATTTCAGGCAAGAAGGTAAATCAGTACTTGCTGTCCATCGTGGCCAGAAGCAGATTGCAGCAGAGCTTCGGCACCTGCTGTCGACTGCTAGAATGCTTTTCTACCCCTTTGCTTAAGTGCTTCCTTCTCACCCTTCATTTCCTGGTGTAGTCATCTCTTCCTTAGGGAAATCTTTCGTGGGCCCAGTGTAGATCAAATTCTCCTATGTGATCATGGAACTCTGTTTTCTTACATCATCCATCTGAATTTATAATTGTCACTTTTGTTGTCTTTGTTCCCCACTACACTTAAGACTAAATGAGAGTAGAGGTCTTGTCTGTTTTATCTGTACAGCTTAGTGGAATGTCTGCCACACTGTAGGCACTCAGTGCATATTTGTTCTGTGTATGAAGGAGACAGTGTTTAAAAATGCACAGTCCTTTTAACCTAAAAAGTACTCACATATTTTATTTCCACCTTGTTTTCTCCCTGACACAGATTCTGTTAGCCTATCAAGAATCAAGGATGCATTTCATTTAATTGAACACTTACTGGAACTTAAGAATAATGACTGTGAACGACTTAGAGCAGAAATTAAACAAATGGGAAATACGGTTAGTGTACTACAAAAGGAGCTATCTGAAACAAAAGAGACAAAATTACAGCTAGAGCATCAGAAAATCGAATGGGAACAAGAGCTGGGCAGTTTGAGGTATGACACTCTAGTTCTTTGTTTGTTTTGTGTATTATTATACTTAAATTCTGGGGTACACGTGCAGAACGTGCAGGTTTGTTACATAGGTATACACGTGCCATGTTGGTTTGCTGCATCCATCCTCCCGTCATCTACATTGGATATTTCTCCTAATGTTATCTCTCCCCTAGCCCCTCAACCTCCTGATATCCCTCCCGTAGACCCCAAACCCCCAAATAGGCCCCAGTCTGTAAGGTTCCCCTCCCTGTGTCCCTGTGTTCCGATTGTTCAACACCCACTTAATGAGTGAGAACATGAAGTGTTTGGCTTTCTGTTCTTGTGTCAGTTTGCTGAGAATGATGGTTTCCAGTTTTATCCATGTCCCTGCAAAGGACATGAACTCATTTTTTATGGCTGCATAGTATTCCATGGTATATATGTGCCACATTCTAGTTTTAAAGAAATATTTATACTAAAGATAATATATTAGAATTTTTGTAATTTCTGACTTGCCTTCTGGGGATTAATGGGAGAAACCTTCTCGGTCTTGTGGAACATGAAATTCTTGGAAATAATAAATTATTAACTGTGAACTCTTCTGCTAATACATAAATGCATATTCTTTGCAATCTTAATGGCCATGTAGAAGTCCACCATATGAAATCTTGTTATTCATTTAACAAATTGCAATTTGAGTTTTGAAATTATCTTGTATTTATAATTAATGATATAAGGAGCATCTTTTCTCACTATTATTATTTATAGACACAGGGTCTCAGTCTGTGCCTGAGGCTGGAATTCAGTGGTGTGATCATACCTCCCTGCAGCCTTGAACTTCATCCTCCTGCCACAGCGTCCTAAGTAGTTGGGACTACAGGTGCCTGTTCCCATGCCTGGCTAACTTTTTAAGTTTTTTGTAGAGACAGGATCTCACTACATTGCTCAAGATGATCTACAACTCCCCACCTCAAGCATTCCTTCTGCCTTGGCCTCCCAAGTCATTAATATTACAGGCATGAGCCATCACGCCCAGCCCATAACATTTTTTATATAAATCTTGCATCCCTAAACTGTTTGCTTTGAATAAATTATCCAATATAGAATTATTAGGTTGAAATACAGGAACTTTTTAAAAAAAAACCTTTGATCAATATTAATTTTTCTCAAGAATGTTTGTGTTAATTTACTGTCCAACCAGTAGATCATGAACTGGCCACTTTTCTAAACCCAAAGTAATTTTTAAAAAATTTATACAGTTTTATTCTTTTTCAGAATTTTGGCGTATTTCATAGCTTTAGGGGATACACATGGTTTTTGGTTACATGGATGAATAGCTTAACTCCCTATTATGAATGAGAACGTGTTTTTATTTGGCTTTCCCGTCCTGAGTTACTTCATTTAGAATAATGGCCTCCAGTCCCTTCCAAGTTGCTGCAAAAGACATTATTTCATTCTTCTTATGGCTGAGTAGTACTCCATGGTGTATATATACCACATATTATTTATTCCATTCACTGGTTGACGGACACTTAGGTTGATTTCATATCTTTGCAATTGCAAAATGTGCTGCAGTAAACAAACATACATTTGCTGGTGTCTTTTTGATGTAAAAGTCACAGGTTACCAAATCCATGTACACAAATCAGTAGCACTAGTATACACAAATCAGTAGTACTAGTATACATCAAGAATGGCCAAGGTGAGAATCAAATCAAGAGCCTAATCCCTTTTACAATAGTGGCGGCAACAACAACAAAAACTTAACCTTTTAGAGATCTTTCACCTCCTTGGTAACCAAGATGAAAGATCTCTAAAAGGAGATGAAAGATCTCTGGAAGGAGAACTAGAAAGCACTGCTGAAGAGCTCTTTCATAGGAAAAAAGGAAATCAAGCAGACATGAACAGACATTTCTCAAAAGAAGATGCACAAATGGCCAACAAACATATTTTAAAATTCCCAACATCACTAATATTCAGGGAAATGCAAACTAAAACAACAAGGAGATATCACCATACTCCAGCCAGCATCCTTATTATTAAAATGTTGAAAAACAATAGAAAGATGTTGGTGCAGATGTGGTGAAAAGGGAATGCTTGCTCATACATTGCTGATGGGAATGTAAACTAGTACAACCTCTAGGAAAAACAGCAGGGAGATTTCTCAAAGAACTAAAATAGACTTTTGCTGATTTCATTGATCAAATCCAGGAGTGTTAGGGTTTTCTAAGCTAAAAGATTATGTCTTGGGCAAACAGATAGTTTGACTTTCTCTTTTCCAATTTGGATGTCCTTTATTTCTTTCTCTTGACTGATTGCTCTGGCTAGGACTTCCCAGTTTCATTCTAAATATGCATGAAATAAAAAGTAAAATGGAAAGTAATCGATGATTAGTTTATTCCTCATCTTTCCTGTGCAGATAAAATTAATTCCAAATTCGATGTTGAAACTATCCTTTACTTTTAAATTAAATATTAGATCCTGTCTTGTTCCAAAAGGGATTTAAACATTGTTTATAAAATGCATAAGAATCAAGAAGATAAGTGGAAAGTGTTACCAAAAAGAGAGACATAAAAAGTATGGAGGTAACAGTTATTAAACAGCTTAGCCTAGTCTTGGATTATAGTAGTCTGAAGATACATGTTGTGTGAATGACATCTGAAGGTGTTACCTTACACTGTAAATCATTTTTAGGGCTATACATACAATATTTCACAAAGATGAAAATGTATTTCTAGTGAATTTCTAAACCTGTTTGTAAACAGTAGCTTCTTTTAAATTAGCTAACTCTAAATGATCTATTCTAATTAACTAATTTTCAATTTGCATAACATGAAAAACAAGTAACTTTCAACTTGTAACTTTACTGAAAAATTTCAAATATGCTCTTCTCAGATTTACTAGTAACAGAAACTTACCAGTTAACAGAATGTTTCTTTCCTCACTACTTCTCAAATATGTATATCCCTTGGAAGAGAGTGAAGTGAGAAATTAAAAACATGAGAACTAGAAAGGAAACAAGAACATAGGAGTTTTTATGAGGATTATAAACCCACAAAGAAGAGCCAGATGACAAAATAAACTTTTTTATTTTCTAACAAAACACATTTTAATATCCATATTTAACTGCAGACTTGCCTTAAGACAAGAAAAATATAAGAAAGAAAATGCTGATGTGGTGTGTAATAAAGTCAGTGAACAGTTAAGAATAAAAGAAGAGGAATGTAGGAAAAAGGCTGAAATGACGCAGCAACTTAAATGGACTCTGAGAAAACTCATTAAGGAATTGAGGATGGTAAGAAAGAACTTGGATCTGGTAAATTAATCTTTGGTGAAAACTTCATATTTCTAACTTTATGTTTCATCAGTATTGCTTATACTTTTTTTTGGCTTCGTGTATATCATTTAGGTTTAAAACAAACCAAAAGTGTTATCTCCTCTTAAAAATGAACTATAACATTTATAGCTAAAATTATTTATTGTAAACCTTGACATCTAAATAGATGCTCAGTCTATGTTTTCAGAACGGAAGACGAGTTTAATCACTAAATGAGTTTACACATTTTTATGTTAAAATACGGGCTAAATAGCTTTGAAAGTATAATGACACTAGTTAAATGTTTTGAAAGAAATTTTATTTTACAATGCTGTATCTTCCCATATTTAAGAACTGTTTCTCCTCTTTGACAAATTTAACTGTCATGTATGCAATTAAGATTTGAGTGATGCTTCAGGGATAAAAGTTCTTGTGTTTTAACAGGCTACTTTCTTTTAACCATTTTATAAGAGAGGCTCTGCTTTTTTCTTCTTTTTTATTTCTTTCTTTTTTTTTTTTTTTT